CATCCTTGCATACCTGATATTAACCCCACCTCGTCATAATGAATTCTTTTTTTTTGATATGTTATTGAAATCTATTGGCTAGGATTTTGTTGAAGGTTTTTGCATCTATACTCAAGAGGGATGTTGGTCTGTAGCTTTCCTTGTTAGCAATGTCTTTGTCTGGTTTTGGTATGAAGGTTATGCTTGCTTCATAAAATGAATTTGGTAGGATTCCGTTCTTTTCTATGTTTTGGAATAGTCTGAGTAGGATTGGTGTTAGTTCTTCTCTGAAAGTTTGGTAGAATTCTTCAGTCAAATCGTCTGGGCCAGTACTTTTTTTGTTGTTGGTAAATTTTTTATGACCTGTTTAATTTCTTCTTTTGTTATATATCTGTTCAAATTTTCCACCTCAGTCTGTGTTAGTTTAGGTAAGTAATGTGTTTCTAGAAATCTCTCCATTTCTTTCAGATTTTCAAATTTGTTGGAGTACAGTTCTTCATTATACAACACAATGCACTGCCATGGAGTTGGATCCGACTCACAGCGACACCTCCTTGGGTGTCCAAGGTGGTATCACTATGGAAGTAGGTTGCCCAAACTTGCTTCCAAGGAGTGGCTGGTGGGTTTGAACTCCCAGCCTTCTAGTTAGCAGTCAAATGCCTTACACACTATACCACTAGAGCTCCTTTCTGTGTATTAGTTGCTTTTTTTTCTTTCTTTCTTTTTAAAATATTGTTCACTCATTTGGAGTTTATGTAAGCTTTGAATTTCCAGCATAATGCTGGCTTTTCCTATTAGACCCTTTACCTTGAGTAGGCTCAGTCTTCTTCCCTTGTTTTCCATACCCTGTGCAGCCTTCAGAGATGAATTTCAAGGCCTCCTTGCTTGTGGTACAAACTATTGAAACAAAAACTAGCTTTGCTACTTGCTTGCCTCCCTGGATTCCTGTTTTCATTTTCTTTTTATTCTCTGAGGATTTCTTTCTACTATGCTACCTCAATAATTCATTAACATACACATGCAACATACACACATGCAACACACTCATACCACACACTATATGTGTGTATAGTGTAAGTGTATAATTTATTAAGCATTTTAGTTCTTTTATCATAAGGATTGTTCAGGTATGTAGTGGGTTTTTTACACATATTAAATATAGGCTTTATGAATGTGTGTTTAAACCATAGACTGTTTAGAAAAGAAAATAGGTATGCATGATTTGATGGGTCTCTGATAAGATTGTGTTTTCTTTCCATTTGTACAAGAGATCATCCTCTTTTACTCAGTCACAAACCAAAGATTGACATTTGCATTTAGGTGACATGCCACTTTAGCTTATAAACATCTATGATTCATTATCTTAAACAGGGTTTTTGGAGTTTCTCTAAGTTTGTATATATAAATTACAAATGGCAGAATTCATTCTATTTTGACAGGTAGACATAAAATAAAAATGATCAAATTTTCATTGTTTCAAATATGTCATTTTAGCCGGAGAGTGCTTAAAAAGTAATGGATAACAAATATTTATCACATTCTCCTTGGTGTTGTATACATGTGTATTTGTACAGTATGCAGTTACCTAAAATAACCTGATTATGTGATCAAGCATGTAGTAGTATTTGAAGAATCTTAACATCATTTTGGTAAGTATATTTATAACTTGGAGAAAACTATATATGCACATATATATGTATGTATGTGTATGTAAATATATACGTATAACCAAAACCAAATTCACTGCCATTGAGTCAATTTTGACTCATAGAAACCCCTACCAGGCTTCCAAAACTGTAAATCTTTACAAAAGCAGATTGGCTCATGCTTCATCTATTGAGTGGCTAGTCGGTTTGAACTGCTAACCTTTGGGTTAGCAGCCAAATACCTGAACCACTAAACTACTAATGTGTGTGTTTATATATATGTATATGTATGTGTGTATATATACATATATGTATTTATATATGCGTGTGTGTGTGTATATATATATTTTATATATAAATATATATATATATATTTTTTAAATAACTAGAGTTTAATTCTCAAGTTACATAGCTGGTACAGTCAAATATAGGTATGAATCTGTAGCTTGTGTTTGTGAATTTGTTACTGTAAGAAAAATATGCATTCTTGCTTATACTACTAGACAAACTCAGTAGCACTTTCTTACTGATGCCAGTACACCACTGATACCTCTGAGGGAAAAAGGAAAAAATCTCATATATCAGCCAAGACATAATGTGAATCTGGTAGGTGTGCCAGCCTTGATGAATCATCGCACAGACTGATTTTTGTCTTTTCCACTTGCAGAATGTTCACAACATATGTCAGATATTATGCCAAATATAACGAGCAAGGAAAGCATTAGAAGCATAGATCCATTCCAAGTGCAAAATTCCAATTATCAAAGCCTGAACACAAGCCTTTTATTAAAAAATACACTTTGATCTGCACTATAATTGGCACACTTTCTACTAAGTGACACTGGCGATTTAGTGTTGCAATTTTATTTTATTTTTCCTTTACAAACAGTAACACTACGTGAGAGTAAGCCCAGAGTTCTGTTTGCTGGAGACAGAGCTCCGGGTGAAGGTTGTAGACCCACCTCACACTCAGCCTTCTCTGCCACTTGGGGGCGCAGGGCTCAGCCATTGTCTAACACTGTTTCTGCAAAACACCTCCTTTCATCATTGGCCCATCAAAATGCATCTTAAATGATTCTGCAGCTGCCAAAACTTAGAGCTACTCTAAATTTTCTGTCGAAGTGTTGGTAAGAACAGACTGTGGTTTGTTAAAGTAGCTTGGTTCTAGTTCTGAATCAGTAACTAAATCTAATACCCATAAATGAAAGAGAGTTTATGAAAATTTAAATTTAATACTATAGCGGATTCTTAATATAAAATATAATTACTTATTTTTTCTTAATAATAAAAAAAAAACCTATGAAATCCCCCAAACACTCTCAGTATCAAAGATACAGTATTAGAAACTTCTCCACCACATGAGGACCTGAAGGCCTTAAGTTGTCTTAGACTGGCTTGCTTACCTGGAGAGAGTGGTTTGGATAGATCAATAAGAACTATGACTTCCAGGCCATGTTTCCAAAAATTGTGCAGGTTCTTTCACCAGAAGATGAAATTTCTATTAGCCTGTGGCTGTTCATTTTTTTTTTCCTTCTGAATTCAGAAGCCACAAAGCTATTAAATCTATATCTGTTCTGAGAGATATGCATAGAACATTTGAATCTATATCACTTTACTGCAAAGAAACATTCTAAACATGCACTGTATCATTTATTCCTTTACATCAAACTCATGAGAACATTATTAATATCCCTATTTTAAAGAAGAGCCTCGGCTTTATAGAAGCTGAATAACATACTCCAGGTCACAGAGTTAGTAAGTGATGGAGTCAGATAGAATGCCAAAATGAAGTTGCCAGGACAGAGATTTAAGCTTATTTTCAGGTTTGTTTAACTCAAAGTTAGTGCTATTGTGTAAATTTCTATTTGATGGAATTTCTGGCAATGAGAGCAAAGTTAATAATTCTGTTATAAATTTAAATGCAAAAGGGAGGAAAAATAGAATAGAAACTAAAGAAGGAAATTGAATTGTATTTCAATTCATATTAAGGATTTTTCATAATTTGGGGTTGAAACTGGAGCATGGCCCCATGCTAAGTGTCAGTTTTCCACACCTGGTTATACTTTTTGTATGACGTATAACAGATGTTATTGGACACCTTCTGTATGCTGGACTCCAAGCTAGGCATTGGGGATATGATGGTATAAAAGACATTTAACAATCCACACCTCATGGAGCTTATAAACCAAGAGAGTTAAAAGACATAAAACAGATGAGCCTAGTGTTGCTGAGAAATGCATGTGTCTTTGATAGTCTTTTGGGTCTGACAGTGGTAGTGCAGAGGTGGGTGGGCCTGGAAATACCACTGAGGAAGAATATACGTAAGAGGGCAATTAAGGCAGACAGAAAGGTTTTCATAAAGACTGTGAGACAAGCACTTGAAGAACAGAAAGTTCACGAGTATGACCAGAACAGAGAAAGTAAAGTGAAAAATGACATGAATAAGAAGTCTGAACATGTAGGTCCTTGTGTTGCTCTTAGTTGTTTTTAGCATCATTATGTTTGAGTTCAGTGTTGTGACTGTTGTGTCAATCCAGGTCATTGAGGATCTCCCTTATTTTCGCTGACCCACTGCTTTACCAAACACGATGTTCTTTTGTAGCAGTTAGTCTTTCTTAATGATGTATCCAAAGTAAGTAAGTTGAAGGAACATTCTTGTTCTATTTTTTTCGAAGACTGATTTGTTTATTCTTTTGGCAATCCATGATATATTCAGTATTCTTTGCCACCACAATTCAAATACATCCATTCTTCTTCTGTCTTCCTTTTCTACTCTTCAACTTTCACATGCATATGGGATGATTGGAAAGACCACGGCTTCAGGTCAGACATACCTCAGTCATAGATGCTGAATTTTCTCATAGTAGCACTGGAAAGTCGTCCAACAGTTTTACACAGGAAAATGACAGTATCCATTTTTTTATTATTATTTAATTCAGAATGAAAACTGGGAAACTAGTTAAGTGACTAATGAAGTGAACAAGATGGGAGAACGTGGTGGCTTGGAAGAGGGTAGCAGCAGTAGAATCAGAGAGAGGTAGATTCAAGAGAGGTTTGAAAAGTAGGCTTTCCCGACATGGCGGTGGGCTAAATATGGAGAGAGAGGGACTATTTCAGAGATAGCTCCAAGATTTTAGATATTTCTGTGTCTCTCTCCCTTCTACAATTTTGAATCCAACAAATATCAGAAAGTTCCCAACTATTTCACAGTACCTCCCATCAGTGGGAAAGGAAGAGCACGCCTCTCAAAGGAGGCTTTGAGAATACAAGACTTTCATGAGAGGTGGGCAGTGAGCCAAATATAATTTTGAGGCATAGCATTTTATATATAACTATAATGTACTTCTCTCTTTTTTCCCCTGGGGATAAAAATAGGAGAACTCACTGTGAAAGAACCAAAGTTTCTTGATTTTGAAGTCAGAAATGAAGTGCAACTTATTGTATTAGCTGAAAGAAGTGGACATAGAGCCTACAGCAAAGTAGCAATCTTGATACAAGATGTGAATGATAATTTTCCATGTTTTGACCAAAGTGTTTACCATGCATCGCTGTCTGAAGGCCAGTTCTACAATACTTATGTCATACAGGTAACAAGAATATATTTTTTATTTGGTTAATTATTATCAATTAATATACATACAGCAAAACAGACAGGCTTTTGTCTAGGACATAATGGTATTTTAAATGATTCCAGGGTCCCTGTGTGATTGATGGACTGGATGAAACTTTAAATTGAAAGAGGTCTTGAGTTTCCAAATATACTCTTCTTCCTCTTGATTTATTGAGTACTCAATTACTACTCACCTACTTTCACCAGGGACTCACTTGAGCACTAGTTGGGACTCTGTAGGGTACCACCTATCTGATACTTTACTTTTCTGGTTGAGTTAATTCAGGTTGTGAGTTGCCATCAAGTCAATTTCAACCCATAGCATCCCCATGTATACAGAGTAGAACTGTTTCTTAGTATTTTCAAGGTTGTTTCATTTTGGAAACTGATCACCAGGCTTTCCTTCAAAGGCACCTCTGGTTGGTATTGAACTGCCAGACATTTGGTTAGTGGTCTAATGCTTAACCATTTGCCCCACTTAGTGGATATGAGACCTTAGAGCCCTCACTGATCCACTATTCCAGGAGACTGTGTATCTATAAAAGTTTTAAGTGTACAGACCCAGTAGCCATACTGGACTTTATCTAGTCCCAATACAGACCAGCTTCTCTTCCTGATGGTCCCACAGAGAATTGTGTTGCAGCCTTCATGTACCCTGCAGATAAGTTCCCTGGAAGCTCCACTTGACCTCTCAGGGTCCCCTAAGAACTCTGCAGCAGTAAAGGATAAGTTGAGAGGATACGGAGAACTAGGACATCCGTATAGCAGCCCAAGAGAGAGGTAAAGGGGGCGTGACCTGAGGCTGAGGCTGAGGACAATAGAGGATAAAAAGAAGTACAACATTTTAAAACAAATCTGTCAATTTATTCTTAAATAAGGTCTTGAGCCCACAGTATAATAGGTTTTGTTGTTACAATGTAATGCAAACTATATCATATACCTCCATGGAGAATGATGTCCAACTTTTGTGTTATTGTTAGCATTATCTGATAACTAATTAAATAAGTAATCAAGATCCAAGTTTGTTAGCCCTAAATATATTGTTTCATTTCTTTAAAGATCACTTTAAGATGAGACTTCAAATACAATACACAAAAATATACATGTGGCCTATTTCACTGGCAATATTTTAAGCAAGAAAATAAATTTAAGAAAAGAGCTAATGAAAGGCTATCATTCACTGTGCAAAAGTTTCCTGTAATGTTTCTTTCCTTTCTTGCTACTAGCCTGAATCCATGCTGGAAATCTTCTATTCAAATAAATTAGATTTTATTTTTTTCTGTTGCTTAAAATTATAAGTAAAAAGTATGTGCCTCTCCTACTGAAAGTTACTTGGAAATCCTTTGAATATGTATGCAAAATAAGTTACTCACCCTTCACCCACCTTATTATAAAATTAAATTTAAATTTCATCAGCTTGTTGGTATTCCTTTAATAATCGATTGACAATCTGTGATTCTTTTATAATGCATTTCTCTGAACAGGCTTACACAATGTTGTAAATTAAATCCTTATTTAACAGAAGAATTGGTTCCTCTCAGGTTTTTGCTACTGACCCAGACAGTGGATTAAATGGCCTCCTTGAATATTCCATTCTTTCTGGCAACCAAGGAGACGTGTTTCAGATTGATGCCATGAGTGGTGTGATAACAACAAATTCAATTCTGGATTATGAGTCCACCAGCTCCTATAGGTTTGTCCATGATTCATATCTGTTTGATCAACTATTCTGCCTTGTTACTGACAATATTGTTGCTTTGCTTAGTTGTAAAAATGTATTTTCTTTCTGCTGCAACTTATCATTATTATTATTACTTTGGTGAAAATATACAGAATAACGCATACATCCATTCAATAATTTCTACATGGTACAGTTTAGGGTCATTGCTTAAATTCTTCACATTACATCACTATTCTCACTATCTCTACCCATATTATTTCACCACCACTAACTTTCTATGTTCCTTAAAGTTCTTATCTATGCTTTAGAATTACAGTTGTCATTTTGATCTCATATAGATACATCTTTAAAACAGCACAATGATTTAGGCCAATATTCTTTATTAATTGAGCTAAACTGTTACTTAGTTTAAAGATGACATCATGGGATAGTTTTAATTCAAAGTTAAAGATTATTCCAAAAGAGTAGATTTAGAGGTTCCTCTATTTTCAATAGATCCAATAAGTCTGTTTTCCATAACAATTTGACTTTCTGTTCCACAGTTTTTCTTCTTTTTGATCAGGCGCCATCTCTTAGCTGCTTGATCAAAACATTCAGTAATAGTAGCCAGCACCAACCATTTCTTCTGGTAATTAGTTCATGGAGGTGATTAGATCTGCAGTCCATTTCCTTGTTTGATTCCCTACATCTCCTTCTTTCTCTACTGCTTCTTGTATATAGAGGACAATTTTTATATCTTGGGTGGCCACTCACAAGCTTTTAAGACCCCAGGTACTACTCATGGAACTAGAAAGTAGAGAAGAACCTCTTAAACAATATCAGGCCAATTGACTGGATAGACCAACGAATACATGATACAACCTTTGAACCAATGAATCTAACCACATGAAGGGTTTAGTTGTATCTAAGTAATATCAACAATTGCAGTATTGTTTATTTATTTATTTATTTATTTATTTATTTATTTATTTATGGCTACTGTTATAAAATTATATATAACAGTATATTTGCCATTTTGCACTTTTTTATGGCATGCAGCTTAGTAATACCAGTTACATTAGTCAAGCTTTGTAACCATTACCTTTAGTAGATGCCAATTTTCCCATCATCATAGACAAAAATTCACTACTTTCCTCCCCCAGCCAACCCATGGTAGCCACTAGTAACCATGGGTCTCTATATATTTACTTATTTTTGTCATATCATGTAAGTGTTTGCTGCTGTTCCTTTCCATTTTGAGTCATGCCCCATCAACAAATGAAAGTTTTGAATGCTTTACTCCATCCAAGTCATTAAGGTCAACTCTTCTTTGAAGAGGCAACTCTTCCCTACTTGTATTTTGAGTGCCTTCCAACCTGATGGGCTCATCTTCTGGTACTGTATCAGATAGTGCTTCACTGCTATTCATAAGGTTTTCACTGGACAATTCTTTGAGAAGTTAATAATCGGAACATGGAATGTGCTATGAATTCCTACAAATCTAGGAAAATAGAGAGTTATAAAAAATGAAATGGAAAGCATAAAGATTGATGTTCTAGGCATTAGTGAGCTGAAATGGAGTAGTATTAGCCATTCTGAATCAGACAGTCATTTGGTCTACTATTCCAAGAATAACAAGTTGAAGAGGAAGGGCATCACATTCATCATCAAAAAGACATTTCAAGATCTGTCCTGAAATACAATGCTGTCAGTGATAGGAAAATATCCATATGCTTACAAGGAAGACCAGTTAATATTACTACTATTCAAATTTGTGTACTAACCACTAAAGCCAAAGATGAAGGAATTGAAGATTTTTACCAACTTATGAAGTCTGAAATTGACCAAATATGCAATCAAGATGTATTGATATTTACAAGGGATTGGATTGTGAAAGTTAGAAACAAAGAAGTGTTGGTGGTTGGAAAATATGGCCTTGGTGATAGAAATGATGTTGGGGACCTTATGGTAGAGTTTTGCAAAACCAATGACTTATTCATTGCAGATACCTTTTTCAACAATATAACATGTAGACCTCACCAGATGCAATTTACAGGAGTCAAAATGACTACATCTGAGGAAAGAGGCAATGGAGAAGCTCAGTAACATCAGTCAAAACAAGGTCAGGAGCTGACCATGGAACAGACCATCAATTTCATTCGCAATTTCATATTGAAGCTGAAGAAAATTAAAACAAGTCCATGGAAGTGAAAATGCAACCTTGATTACATCCCATCTCAATTTAGAGACCATCTGAAGTACAGAATTGATGAATCATCCACCAATGTCCAAAGGCTAGATGAGTTGTGGATGATAGTATCTTCATACATGAAGAGAGTAAAAAGACACAAAAGGAAGAAAAGACCAAAATGGATGTTGAAAGAGACTCTGAAACCTGTTCTTGAATGGAGAGTAGCTAAAGCAAATGAAAGAAGTGAGAAAATAAAAAGGCTGAACAGAAGATTTCAAAGGGCAGGTAGAGAGGACAAAGTAAAGTTTTACAATAACATATACAAAGACCTGGAATTAGAAAACCAAAAGGGAAGAACATGTTTGTAATTTCCCAGATTAAAAGAAGTGAACAAAAAATCAAGTCTCGAATTGCAACACTGAAAGATTCTAAAGGCAAAATATTAAATAATGCAAGAAGCATCAAAAAAAAAAAAAAAAGATTTCCATATACAGAACAAGGGGACACTACATGGTTTAAAATCAAGAAGGGAGTGCGTCAGGGTTGTATCCTTACTCCACACTTATTCAATCTATATGCTGAGCAAATAATGCGAGAAGCTGGACTAGATGAAGAAAAACATGGCATCAGGATTGGAGGAAGAATCATTAACAACCTGAGATATGCAGACGATACAACTTTGCTTGCTGAAAGTGAGGATGACTTAAGGCACCTACTGATGAAGGTTGAAGAATACAGTCTACAGTATGGATTACGTCTCAATATAAAGAAAACAAAAATCCTCACAACTGGACCAATGAGCAGTATCACAAGAAATGGAGAGAAGATTGAGGTTGTCAAAGAATTCATGTTGCTTGGTTCTACAATTGATGCCAATGAAAGCAGCAGTCAGGACATTAGACGATGTGTAGCATTGGGAAAGTCAACTGCGAAGGAACTGTATCAAGTGCTGAGGAGCAAGGATATCTCCTTGAGGACTAAGGTGCTCCTTACACAAGCCATGATATTTCCAATCACCTCGTATGCATGTGAGAGCTGGACAATGAATAAGGAAGACCAAAGAAGAGTTGATGCTTTTGAGTTGTGGTGCTGGCGAAGAATGCTGAAAGTACCATGGACTGCTAAAAGAACTAACAGATCTGTCCTGGAGGAAGTGCAGCCAGAATGCTCCTTGGAAGCAAGAATGGCCAGACTTCGTCTCACCTATTTTGGTCATGTTGTCAGAAGGGACCATTCCCTGGAGAAGGATGTCATGCTTGGTGGGGTGGAGGATTGATGAAAGAAGGGGAGGCCTTCAATGAGATGGATTGATATGGTAGCTGCAATGATGGGCTCAAGTATAGCAGGGATTGTGGGGCTGGTGCATGGGGTCGCTATGAGTCAGAAACGACTCGATGGCACTTAACAACAACAACATATACAGAGTCACTGTACCAAAAAGAATTGGTTGACAGCTACTACTAGTGGCCTTAGTGATAGAAATCAACTACTTCAGGAGATATAGGATATGATCAAGAACTGATGGTACTGAAGGAACATTCCTCAACATAATAAAGGACATCTATGCAATATCAACAGCCAACATTATTCTCAATGGAAAGAGACTGAAACCATTCCCTTGAGGACAGAAACCAGACAAGGATACCCTCAATCACTTCTATTCAACATTGTATTGGATGTCCTATCAGGGCAATAAGGCAGGAAAGGGAAATCAGAGGCATCCAGTCAAACTATCCCTATTTGCTGATCATCCTATACCTAGAAAACCCAAGAGACTCAGGCAAAAAAACTACTGGAACTAATTGAGAGATTTAGTATAGTGGCAAGATACAAGGTCAACATCCAAAAATCAGGTGGATTCCTCTACACCAGCAAAGAGATTGCTGAAAAAAGAAATAAGGAAATCAATGCCATGTACAAGCAATCCAAAAAATAAAGTATTTTGGAATAAATCTTACCAGGGACACAAAAGACCTATACAAAGAATATTATAAAAGACTACTTCAAGAAACCATAAGAGATGTACATAAATGGAAGAACATACCATGCTCGTGGATAGGAAGCTTGAACCTTGTGAAAATGTCAGTTCTACCCAAAGCAATGTATATATTCAATGCAATCCCAATCCAGATCCCATTAACATTCTTTAGGGACATAGAAAAACAAATCACTAACTTTATATGAAAAGGAAAGAGACCTAGGATAAGCAAAGCATTACTGAAGAAGAAAAACAAAGTAGGGAGTCTCACACTCCTGGATCTTAAAACATACTATACAGCCACAGTAGTCAAAACTGTCTGGTATTGGTACAATAACAGACACATAGACCAATGGAACAGAATTGAGATCTCAGAAATAGATCCATCAACCTGTGCTCAGCTGATCTTGGAGAAAGGGCTGAAATTCATAAATGAGGAAGAGATTGTCTGTTTAACAAATGGTGCTGGCAAAACTGGATATCCATTTGCAGAAAAATGAACCAAGATCCATACCTCACACCATACAGAAAAACTTAACTCCAGATAGAGCAGACTTAAATGTGAAACCTAAAACTATAAAGTTCCTCAAGGAAATACTAGAAGCAAATTTAGGGGCCCTAATATATGGCATAAATAATCAAGCATAACCCAAAATGCACGAATAGCAGAAGATCAACTAGGGACCTTCTAAAAATTAAATTTTTATGTGCTTCCAAAGACTCTCCAAAAGAGTCAAAAGGGAACCTACAGATTGGCAATGACATATCTGATAAGGGACTTATCTCTAGAATTTATAGAAAACTCCAACACCTCAACAACAAAAAAACAAATAATCCAATTACAAAATGGGCAGAAGACATGAA